GGAGAAGTCTGTGTGTTATACATAGTCGTCTCGTTTGTTGTTGAAAAAAGATATTTTGTTATGAACAAGTCATTGGCCTTACAAAAGTCTATCATGTTATCTCCAGCTTCATTTCTATCACTAAGTTCATATTTTCCAACTCCTGCTTCTTCCTTTATTTCCAATTTTAACATTCCAATCACCAATAATTATCAGTGCATCTTGATCGTATGTTTGATCAACTGTTGTTAGAATTCTTCAGTTGCTACATTACTAGCTTTAGTGGTTGGCGCATACATTTGAATCATAGTTGTATTGATTGGATTTCATGAAGGCAGGTAGACCTAATCCTATCTCAGACAACATTGTACTTGAAGATCTGACTGTGCTGTTTGACAGTGACCGCAGGCATTCCTCTCGATTGTGTCAGTCCCGGAACAGTGAGCCGTGTGATTTTCATACTCAGAACTTCCAGTGCCAGTCTGTTTCAGCTCGCTAACACCGAGGATACTGATCTTATGCATTCCATTTCATTTTTAATGACTTCCACATTTCCTAGCGTCACACCTCGTACATTGCATGTTCCGATTACTGATGGTTGTTTGTAACTGCCGCTTCTCACCTTGCGTTGTGACTCATCAGAAAATGACGATTCTGAAGACTCATTCCTACGGGCTTTACTCCATTCAGATCACCATGTCCATTCTCCTTTGAGAAAGCATCTCCTTCCTAGTCACATTTCAAGTCCTTCAGACCCAAGAGGCCCATCCTCCTGCACATCTCCAGCAGTGTTCTGCTTCCATTCATTAGGCCTGCAGTATCTTACTGGCAGTGTTCCCAGGCAACGCATAAGGTTTTCAGCGGCTACTGTCTTCAAAATGGGCAGCCAATTCCTTCTTTGTTGTCTGTTCTTAGTCTGGAATCTCTGCTGAAGCTTGTTCACTTTGGGTGACCCTGCTGGCATTTGAAATACCAGTGACATTGCTTCCAGTGTCACAGTAAGACATGAGCTGTCACAGTCCACAAACTGACAGACAATTGAGGGAAATATCAAAATATTTACCTCTTAGTCACTAACAATGCAGCTAAAGGGAAATGACACAAAATTTGACAGAATCACGAGGGAACTTCAAATAGTTCATGGGGGAAAAATCCCATTAGCTTCCCATTCTGTTTTTCTAAGAACTTCTTGCAACTCCTTTGTACAGCAAAGACTTTACCAAGCCTTTGGGAAACAGACAGAAATCAAAAAGGTCAAAAAAAATTAAATAGGCCAAAAAAAAAAAAAGGAAAGGAAAGAAGAATATTGACATAGAAGAGTTTAATCATACCAGGTACAAATAAAAGAGCTCTTGTAGAGTAGTGGACTGCGCATTGGGCTGCTAACCACAAGGTCAGTGGTTCAAAACCACCAGCCCCACCCAGGAGAATGCTGAGGCTGTCTATTCTCATGAAGAGCTGCATTCTCAGAAGCACGCAGGGACAGTTCACACTGCCCTGCAGGATCACTGGGAGTCAGAATTGATTCAGTGGCAGTGAGGCACAGTGAGACAAGTTTGGTTGAGGGACAATATGAGGGGTATTCACAAAGTTCATGGAAAACATTTTTGCACAAATTTTTTGGAGCTTTTCATATGACAAGATCAGCGTTCAGCCATGAGAAAGGTCTGTTCCTTTCTGGCTCACCTGGCCGTATAGGAAAGCTAATGACTCCGTGGCTGGAAGGAAGTCTACAGAGACTAACCAGGGCTCTGCCCTGGCGTGGTCCCCGTCCTCAGTGCAGTTCTCAAGTTCATCTTCTCGGTCCCTCCGTTGCCGATGCCTCTTTGGCCTACCCGCTGAATTTCTACCTTACAGTTTTGTGTCTGCTGTAATTGCTCGTTCCTGCCGTTTAATTTGAGGCAGAACTTTGGGGCTGGTTTTCATAAGCTCCAGGAGGCAGTTTTCGGGTGGGCATTCCTCCCAGGGGAGGGGAGCCACTGATCTTCACTACCTTTCTTGCCCTGTCACCATGACGATGAGTGGGTCCCTGGGAGCTCGCAGGGTGCTGGGACCATGTCCTCCCCAGCTGGGGTTTCTCTACAGGAGTTAGGCACTCAGCAGAGGGGGAGCGAGAGCATCTGCCATCTGTTTCACAGGTGATCGAGAGAAGAGCATATGGGCATGTGGTTCACAGCTCTTCTCCTCAGGAGCGAAACCAGTGCTTCTGCATGTTGCTTTCAGGTGCCGCTGAGTCAGTTCCAACTCATAGTGACCCTGCGAACAGCAGAAGGAAGCACTGCCAGCCCGGGCCGTCCTCGCTGTCCTCACAGGTGTTCTTATGTTCAGCCCATCGTGGCAGCCACTGTGTCAGCCCATCTTGTTGAGGGCCTCCCTCTTGTTCCCTTCTACTTAATAAGCTAAAAGCCAAACCCACTGCCGTGGGGCCGATTCCAACTCATAGCAACCCAATAGGATTTCTGAGACGTAAACCCTTACAGGAATAGACAGCCTCATCTTTCTTCCTCGGAGCAGCTGGTGGGTTTGAACTGCCAACCTTGTGGTTAGCAGCCACAATGCCAGCTGGGCTCCTTTTATATTTAATAGACAACCAATCGTTGTTAACTAAATGCCAAAACCAAAAACCAAACTCACTGCCATCAAGTCGAAACAACTCATAGCAGTTCTATAGAGGACTGGGTGCAACTGTCCCTGTTGGTTTCCGAGACTAGCTAACTGCTATCAAGTGGACTCTAACTCATAGCAACCCACCACCTATTTACACCACAACAAAACGTGGCCCAGCCCTTCTTCATCCTCACAGTGGCCATCACTGTGGCTCTTGTCCCAGTTCATCTTGCCACAGATCACCCTCACCCTCTAAGGCATTGTTACAGAGGGAAAGGAAGCTGGGCGTCAAAGGAGAAAGGTCCTGCTTTCCCACACTCGCCAGGGCTTTGTCCAGAGAGCCCTGTCCATGCTGAACTTAGGATGATGCTGACCTTTGTGCCTTCTTTCACTAGTACGGGAACGGAAGCTCCTTTCTCTCTGATTAGTGGGGCATTTGGCAAGACGAAAATGCAGATTCTTCTTGCCTTCCACTTTGGATCAGTGCATCCCTAAAGATGCGCACAGTCAGCCAGGCCACGCGTGTACGGATGGTTCCCATAGAACAAGCAAGGCATTTGGGGTTGAGAACGACGTTGTTGTTTTTGCTTTTAAACTTTCTGTGGTGATTCAGGAGCCCTGGCGGTGTAGTGGGTACGTGTTGGGCTATGATTACATGTTCAGCAGTTCAAAACCAGCAGCAGCTCCTCAGGAGAAAGACTGGGCGTGGGTAGTCTCGGAAACCCACAGTGCGCACTGTGAGTCGGCACTGACTCATGGCAGTGAGTTTGAGGATTTGAGTACCGTGATTTAGGTGGAGATTGACAGAGCAGATCATCAGTTTTACATTCAACAATAAACACACATGCTTTATATCCCACCTCAGCCCCCATACTGGACCATCCTTGTCCCATTTCTTCCCAGTGTTTCCTGGTTCCAACCCTTCTTCCTTAACCCTCTGATCTTGGGTACATGCTGCCCTTTTGATCTTAAATGGTTGGTTATTCACGCACTGAAGGGAGTCCAGTCAGCCATAATCTTGGGGGTCCTCTCAGTCTATTTGACTGGTCTCTTTATGATTTGGGGCTCTATTCCTCCTTCTCCCACTCTCTCCGGGGCCTTCTTGTGGCATCCTCGTCAGAGCAGCTGGTAGTGGTAGCCGGCACCATCTAGTTCCCCTGCCTCATTGTGGTGGAGACTGATGTTTGTGTGGCCCGTTCGTCCACTGGGCCATTGTCATGACTTTGGGTTTTCATCACTTCTTTCCTCTGGACCAGGAGAGGCCAGCGTTTGTCCTTTAGGTGGCTCCTCACAAGCTTTTTAAAATCATAGTCTCTGCTCACCGCAGTGAGATGTAGAACACTGTCTTTGTGAACCGTGCTGTGTCTGCTCTTCCAGGCCCAGGAACTCATTCCCTCGAGGTGTTTGCTCTGTCTAAGATGTTTTCGTCGCTTTGTCCCCTGTGTTCTCCACCACATACCCATGTACAAACATCCTCTGTCAGACCTAGATGTATTCATGGTGTACTCCCACTCTCCCTCCCACACGATCCACGTGTCTCCTCACAGATCACTGAGCTTGCAGGAGCTTACGTACGTGGAGCCCTGCTCACCCTGCTGCTCTGACTCCTGTGCACGTCTCAGCAACACGCCCCCCAGGGGACACAGGGTGGTTCTGAGAGAGCAGGAGAAGGGCGCAGCTCTTTGACTTACTTTGACATCTAAACAAGGGATAGAAATCCGGCTTCGTTGCTAATCATTCAGTGTTGGGGCCCCTGTTGAAGCAAGCAGCTAATGCACTTAGCCACTAACTCAGGGGTCCCCAAACTTTTAAACGGGGCCAGTTCACTGTCCCTTAGACCATTGCAGGGACAGACTATAGTTAAAAAACAAAAAACAAAACAACTGTGAACAAATTCCTATGCACACTGCACGTATCTTATTTTGAAGTAAAAAAACGAAACGGGGCAAAAACACCCGGCACGCCGGATAAATGTCCTCGGTGGGCCGCATGTGGCCCGCGGGCCATAGTTCGATGTCCCCCTGCACTAACTGAACGTCTGACCATTTGAGTATAAGCAGAGAGGCCTGGTGACCTGTGGAGCACAAATCTACTCTGGCCCTCATGGGGCCTCCATGAGTGAGAGCCCGGGGAGCCTGTGGGGGATAGGATTACTGGGTGTTAGGACTGAGCCACTCCCTCGCCCCTTCAGGTGGGTCAGAGGCCATGAGGATGTTGGACTTCTCAGGACAGGAGCTCAAATCAGAGGGATGGCCAGCAGTCCCAGGTCCCTTCTTGTCCTGCTCGCTAGTAATCACATGCTGCAGTCCCCATGTGCCTGGCGAGGTGAGCTCTAGACGAGTGTGCTGTCAGTCTTGGGTTCGTGCATGCACACATAGCCTTCGGCCCTCTCAGACCTGGCCTTGCTTTTCTAGGGACGCCCTGGCGGAAGGAGCAGACAGAGGACCTGCAGCGGGTGCTCGAGGATGTGGACAGCGAGATCCCGCTGGTCTTCGTTAGCGGCAACCATGACATTGGCAACAGCCCCACCGCCGAGTCCGTCTCGGAGTTCTGCCAGACCTGGGGAGATGACTATTTCAGCTTCTGGGTCGGGGGTGTCTTCTTCCTCGTCCTCAACTCCCAGCTCTGGTTCGATGCGTCCAGGTGCCCCACCTTGAAGCAGGCCCAGGACCGGTGGCTGGAGGAGCAGCTGGGGGTCGCGGGGCAGTGCAGGTGCCAGCATGCCATCGTCTTCCAGCACATCCCACTCTTCCTCCAGACCATCGAGGAAGAGGACGACTACTTCAACCTCACGGCGTCGGTCAGGCGGGAGATGGCAGACAAGTTCACCAAAGCAGGTAGGGGCCTGGGGCCATAGGGGCCTGTGGGGAGGGAAGTTGGGAAAGGTGGATTTCCAGAACTTTCATCGACTCTGGCCTATAGGATCACTGTGAGTCAGAATGGGTTTAATGGTAGGTGGTGGGGAGGGATGAGGGGAGCGGGGCCAAATCCAGTTCTACCTCTCACTGGCTGTGTGGCCTTGCTCACAGCCTGCTGAGCCTCACTTTCTCTATCTGTGAAAAGGGGGTAGTAGTAGCAGCTCTCATAGGATGGGTGTGAGGTCCTAACAAGAGGCCTGGGGAAAATCCAGACCAGCACCGGGCACTCAGGAATCGGGAGTAGCAGGAGGGCCTTCGCCTGTGTTCAGAAAGCAGAACTAGCTCCAGGCTGGGCGAGCCAGCAGTCATGAGGTGTGACTTTACGGTGTGTGTGTGGGGGGACTCCTCAGTTTGCTGTGAGCGAGATGAAGAGTTGGGAGGGAGGGAGCACGTGTTCAGTCTGGCTGCACCCTGCTGCAGGGTTGTAGCTGAAGAGACGTCTGACACTGCAGGTGTGTACACACACTGACAGCACCCTGTGCTCTTGACACAGCGTTGGAGTCTGACTGTTCTGGGCGTGGCCCTAGCCCACACACCCCCGTTTCTCCCAGCCGTCCCCAGGGCTCCTCTCTCAAGACATGCGCTATTGTGGGCGATTTCCTACAGGACAGCAACGATGCAGCAGGAGGCCAGTGTGACAAGTGGGCACCTCTTGCCTTGACCTATGCCCTCCTTTCAGACCTTCCCAGAGGGTGCCCCTCCCTCTTCTCAGAATCAGTGCCGTGTGTGTGTGTGTGTGTGTGTGTGTGTGTGTGTGTGTGTGTGTGTGTTGTGGGTGCCGGGAGAAGCGTCCTGACCCTGGTAGCCAGCAGACCTTTCAGGGAGCGGCAGCCCTCGGTGCCGCTTTAAATGTGTTCATACTTAGTCACACAAAGCTGAGCTGCCTGTGTCCGAGAAGCAGGTGACAAAAGCCTGCGTAATTGGAGGTGTTTGCCTATGAAGGCCTTTGAAATCATGCTCCGTGCTTGAGGTAGCTCAGAGAACCCTTCTGAGGACAGGGGAAAAGTAATAGGGAGACGAGTCTGTGCCCTGGAGAAAGCACCCCACAGGGTTCTCACTGGGTGGCTTTACAGAAGTACATCGCCAAGTCTTTCTTCCAAGGCGCCTCTGAGTGGCTGGAACCTACAACAGTGTGCTTAGCTGAGTTTGTTCACTCACTCTGTGCCCAGGTGGTGCACCCCACGGTATGGTGGAGCAAATGCCACCCCAGACTCCCAGAGATGGAATCCTGTGGGTCTGTAGAGCTCCAGCCGGGCTTCCTGGGGAGAAGCTTGCTAACCAGGCAGAGTCCCGGAGTGTGGCACCCCTCAGACCCTGCAGCACTGAAAGCTCAGGAATCAGATCTGTGGACATGCCCAGAGCCCGTCTGTGTCTCCAAGGTGAACTCATGATTGCAGCTCCCAGAGGCTGATGTCTGCCCCAGAGTGCCAGTGCATTCATTGCAAGCAAGGCTGCGCCATTCACATGGACGCCAGCCATGTGCACAGTCTTTCCCCAGAGGCAGAACCGCATGGGAAGCCACTTTATCACCAGAAGATGGCTTGGTAAGCAGGAGGCAGAGGGGGAGGTAGTGTCGTTACCCCGCTCCTAAAGGCACTGGCTCGGGACCCCTGATGAAGACACCGCCGGGAGGGGCCGTCCTGCCCAATGGGTTCCTTTTATGATGGTTTGAATGAGCGGTTTTGTGTTCAACAGCACATCTTGTTTCGTGGCACGATTGTGGATCTCGGTGTAGCAGTGCTCCTCCACATCCTCTCTGCGTCCCCAGCTGCCATCAGACCTTCCTCACTGCCCCTTCCTGCCTCCTGGCTTTTGTCCCGGAGCAAATGCTGCCCTGCTTCGCTCATGTGACTATACTGAGAAGTACCTCCCTCATGGGTGATGTATTCACTGTCTTGCCCCGTCAGTTGTTTGGCTGAAAGTTAATCCCTCAGGGCTGGCGGAGGGGGAAGGGGACGTGGGGCAGGGGGCTGTTTCACATCCAGGCGTAAAGGTGTCTAAGAGCCACAGTTTCCCGGGCTCCACCAGTCTCTGTCAGACCAGTAAAGCTGGTCTTTTTGTATGATTTGAATTGTATTTTACTTCTTTTTCCCCTCCCTCTTTATCCAGAACTGTATTATCCTCATCAGAGCAGTCCAGAGTAGTAGCTGGGCATCATCTAATTCTTCTGGTCTCAGGCAAGAGGAGGCTGAGGTGCATGGGATCTCCCAGTCCTTAGGATTCATTGTTTCCGGAGCCTTTGCTCGTTACCCTTTGCTCTGACTGAGGAGAAGCCAGTAGTTGCATCTTAGCGAGTGACCGCCTGGCCGCTCTAAAGACCGGAGTGCTTGTGACGTGTTTTTAATCCTGCTCTGTGGCAGGCACTTGTTGTTCAACAGTAGATTTCTCATTCTTGAAGCAGACTTGGGTTTGATTCCTGACCAGTGTACCTTAGATGGAGCCACTGCTCGTCTGTCAGTGGAGACGGGCGTGTTGCTATCATGCTGAATATATTTCAGCCAAGCTCTCAAACTAAGGCAAACTAGGAAGAAAGGCCTGGTGATCCACTTCTGTTAATGAGCCAGGGGAAGCCATATGGATCACAACAGCCCAGACCACACTGGTCACAGGCAGTTTTGTTCCTTGTACGTTTGGCCCTGGTGAGCTGGGGGCAGCTGGATGGCCCCTA